GTAAAATTGAAAGTTCTTTGGGAGGCTGAGACGGTCAGATCACGAGGTCAGGAGATCGAGACCATCCTGGCTAACACAGTGAAACCCCGTCTCTATTAAAAAATACAAAAAACTAGCCAGGCGAGGTGGCGGGCGCCTGTAGTCCCAGCTACTCGGGAGGCTGAGGCAGGAGAATGGCGTGAACCCGGGAGGTGGAGCTTGCAGTGAGCCGAGATCTGGCCACTGCACTCCAGCCTGGGTGACAGAGCAAGACTCCGTCCCAAAAAAAAAAAAAAAAAAAAAAAAAGTTGAAGTTACAATTGCAAAAATAGAATCTGGGCCAAGTAATAGCCATAATATCAGTCAAGGGCCCACTGGATCCAGGCATGGTTTAATGCACTTCCTGTTTACCAATTAATTTGATCCTTACAGCGATCTATGAATCAGGCACTGCCAGTCCCATTTCCAGGTATGAAAACGGAGGCAGGGAGAGGTTAAGTAATTGAAATCACATGGCTGGTAGGAAGTATGTTTCGCCTTCTGACCCATATTCCAACACCGTTTCCAGAAAGAGTGTATCCAGGCGTGCTGTTGCCAACTCGGCCTTCCTCCACTACAGCAGAAGCAGAATGCAGAGGCCTTCAGTTTACAATGGCCGACCGAGTACTTCGCATAGATTCTGCCACTGCAATCCTTACAACCACCCCATTAAGCAGGAGCCCTCCTTACCCCCCTTTACTGATGGGGAAACCAAGGCACAGAGCTTAAATGTTCACTTGTGATCTGCCTGCTGGTGTAAGCAGATTTGGAATCGTGATCTGTTGAATTAAACATAATTCACGTGAAAGTGGTTTAAGAAGTTTATGGGCACCCAAGACTACTGGTCCACTAGGTGACCCCTCTCCCCCAGGCATTCCCTTTGTACATCATTGGTGGATTTGGTGTCATTTGTGGTTGGCAGTGACGGTGCCCTTGGAGACCTATGGGGGTGGTTGGGATGATTTCAGCACAGATGTCAAAGCTGAGCCGGCTTCCATCTGTGAGAGGGCAAAACTGTCCTCCAGGCGGGGCTTTGATACCTGTTAGTGGGAAGGGAGGGAGGGCAGAGATTCCCCCAAAGGTGAGGAAGGGAGATGGGAGGGGTCCTTGCTCTGAGATAGCCTCCAGGTGAGTACCTCCTGGGGCAGCCACCTGTGTGCCCCTCCCCGTCCGCTGTCCCCTCCCCTGCACACAGGTCTAGGTTCCTCAGTTTCACTTTGTGGCCTCTCAACATCCAGCCCCAGGTGCAGCCTGGGCCACCCACAGCTTAGTGCCAATTGCTTTACTCAGCTAATTAGATCAGCACCTCAGCCTTCTCGGGTGCCTCTGGATGTCCAGATGTGGGCCTGAGGCTGGGGGAAAGAAGGACAGTCTCCTTCCCTCAGGGCTTATGAGGAAGGAGACAGACTTCTTTCTAAGGAGACACAGCACAGGCTTGCGTAGAATTGGGGGTGCACAACTGATAATGTGGACAAAGCTGTCTCCGGGAGGGACCTCCAAGGAAGAGTGAGCCAGGAAAGAAGGGGAAGGGGCGGCTTCCTGGCCACTGAGGAAGGAGAGTGGGGTGGAGTCAGTCCCCAAGGGGTAGCCTAGACTGCCCAGATTCCGCCTTCCCGGCCCCACCCCGCAAACACACACACCAGGGGCCCACAGAGCCCTGGGGCGCTGCCTTTCCTGCTTGGAGAGGGCTGCCCCAGCTGGGATGTGACCCCAGCCCCTGTTCATGAGTCTGGTCCTGGGACCCTGGCTGCTCTGTGGAGTATTTGTGTGTTTGTGGATCCTTTGGTCACTCCTTCTCCACTCTCTTAGAGTGAAGACAGCCACCTCTGGGGTGGAGAGAGGGCCCTGAGAACCTGCCCTGGTCCCCCTGGCTGTAGCATGGTGTGGTTGCCAGGGTCTGGTAGCCCCTTTTGTCTCCTGCTTCCCCTAGGACCCCCTAATACCACCCTCCTCAGCTGCACAATGGACACGGGATTTCCGCTCTGAACCTTTGCACAGGCTGCCCTGTCTGCGCCAGAACGCCTTTCCCCGCTTCTGGGGTAGGGTAGGGTTATCGTCCTGGAGAACCTTACCCATCCTTCAGATCTGCAGACATTTCCCCCGCCTCCCCCACTCATTCTGGGTGGAGTGCAGCTGCTAGCCATGGGTACCTTAGCTGAGTTTTAAAAAGATGTCCTTGTACCATGATTATGCAAGATGCTAACATTAGGGGAAGGCGGGTGAAGGGCAGATAGGAACTCTGCTGGTTTTGCAACCTTGCTGCAAGCCTAACATTATTTTCAAAACAAAAATTAGTAAGCAAAGATGTCCATTCCTCCCGACAGTTGTAGTGGGCTTGATCTTAGCTCCCACTTTTCACATGCGCAGGGCAGCCTGTGTGATCAGACCTATTGGTCCTGTGGGTTAAGGTCTCCCCTTTGTGTGTCCCCCATTAACACAAAGTGTGGCCAGATGGGGTGGCGCCCCAGGATACACACAGGCGCACTCACTGATGCCCCTGGTCTTAGCTTCCATAAGCTTCAGCACAGGCTGTTTGACTCCTAACCTGCTGTTTGAAATCACTTTGCTAAATATCTTTGCATTAGAGCAAGTTTCCCTGAAGCAGACCCAGAATCACTGATTCACATGCTGGTGGTTTATTGGGGATACATGTCCAGGAGAAACCACTATTGGAGTCAGGAAAGCAGAACCGAGAAGGGAAAAAGTCAAGGAAATCTGTGATTTTAGGCACAATCTCAGCCTCACCTGATCCCAGGGAGTTCGGGGCTGTGAATGACACCCAGAGCTTGGCCTGCCTGGAGGCAGGACTGGGCTTTCAGTCCCTGGCTAAGGGCTTCAGGAAGGTAGGGACCAGGTGTGTCCCGCTCCGTGCACCTGCAGGGGGAGCATCTGTGACACAGAGCACCAGGCGCAGGCTGTGGAAGTTGGGAGGAGAGCACAAAAGCAGAAAGGGGGACCCGAGGAGACCTGGGCAGGTCCAGGTGCGTGGAGTCAGGAGAACAGACAGTTGGGAAAGGAAGGTGGAAGCAAAATGGGGAGAGGAGGGAGAAGCTGGAACCTACAGCATGAGCTGGTGCCCCGAGGACAGACAGAGCCCCGCATCCATTCTTGTTGCCTCTCACCATGGTGAGGAGCTGTCCCGGGCCATGTAGTGTACAGTGGAGAGCAACCGTGTGTGCGCGTGCCGCAAGGGCCGAGATGGTTTCGCCCTTCAGGTCTCACTTGAGGGTCTCTCTCCTGGTCTCTTTCTCACGGGTTGCATTGTGTCCCCTAAAAGATATGTTGAGATGCTAAACCCCAGGGTCTCAGAATGTGACGTTATTTGGAATTAGAGTCATTGCACGTGTAATTAATTGAGGTAATGAGATCATTTAGAATAGGGTGGGCTCGTGATCCAGTACAACCGTCCTTATAAGGAGAGGGAAACGTGGACACAGACCTGGAGAGGGAAGACGATAGGAAGACACACAGGGAGAAGATGACCAGGTGGAGATAGAGGCAGAGATTGGGGTGATGCAGCCACAGCCAAGGACACCTGGGGCTACCAGAAGCTGGAAGGGGCCAGGAAGGCTCCTCCCCCAGAGGTTTGGAGGGAGTTCTGCCCTGCTGACATCTTGATTTTGGCCTCCAGGCTTCTGGAACTGTGAGAGAACACATTTCCGTGGTTTTCAGTCATCCAAGGTTCAGAACTTTGTGACAGCAGCCTCTGGAAACAGGCTCGCAGCAGAAACCCACATGGAAGACAGTTCTGGAAGTGTGGCTCAGCCAGGCCCCGCAGGAGATCAGAGCCACCCCAGCCTCGGGATGAATGTCTCCTCCTCACGGAGTTTTGCCAAGCCCCCTCCCATGCCAGTCCTCTGCGTGGCTTCCTGGTGCCAACCACAGTGACGATTGCACTGGGGCCCTGGACAGTCTTGCCAGGCTCCCTCAGGAGCCCGTGACTCCCTGAGGACAAGGTACCGTCTGTTTCCTTCTTTTGGTTGCCCGAGGGTTCAGCAAAGGGCCCGATTCCTTGTGGGGCCTTTTGTAACTGATGGAGAGGGTGGGGAGTTGCAAGGAGAGAGAAGCGCCCATCCCTGGGGTGGCATTGCAGCTGCAGGGGCCTGGTGGGTGGGAGTGGGGCCTCCCTGATCTACCACACTCTGTTGCCCGGGCTGGAGGGCAGTCAGCTGGTCAGCTGATGAACTCGGCTCAGAGAAAACCCAGCTTTTCCTTCCCAGTCCTGTGGGACAGACAGCTCCAAACCCTGGCCCACCAGCTTTCTCCGAGTGTTAATTTATCAGGACAATAATAATCCTCCTATGATTTAGGGTTTGGAGGGATTACCAGACTGTGGTGGTGGAGCTGATAGGCGTTTATTACCTACTTAACCATTTAAGTAGAACAAAAAAGAAAATCCTTGTTGCACAAAAGGTGATGAATGTTTTTGTTAAAACACTCTATTAAAATGATTCATTAACATGACAAAGAATCGCCCGGTCTCCAGGCACCCTTGAGGAGGTTGGAACATCTGACCAGACAAGTGTTTTTGGGGAACTTCAAGAATTCAGGATTTGCTTCTACTCTGCATGGGGTGGGGGTGGGGCGCGCCCCCCACCCCATGCAGAGGATGCCCTGCTGCTTTGCGGGATGTGGGTTTTTTTTTTTTTTTTAAGAACCCAGACCCTTGTTCTCCTATGACAGCGCTGCTGCAAACCATATTGCGAAGGGAGCAGCTATGAAAGGGTCCCCACGGGTTCCCCAAAGTCGGCTACATATTAGGTCATTTGCTCTTCCGTCCCTTTGAAACAGCAAAGGTGTCAGCTCGGCACGTCACCCCTGTGCCGTCCGATGATAGTGTTAGATCACTCAGTGGCTGATGCACAGTAGGTGGGTTCTAAAGTTTTAATGAATATAAGATGGCAGGAAGTGGCTACCCTGGAGCGATGGACAGCTGGGTCGGGAGGTGCGGAGGGGTGCTTTGGACTGGTCTTGGTTTATATCCTCACTGCTCCACCCTTGCTGTGTGAACTTGAAGAAGTGACTTCTCTCCAAGCTTCAGTTTCCAGTCTGTAAAACGGAGCTGACACCCAGACTTTGTTCCTAGGGCTGTCGCAGGGGTTAAATGAGAGCACCGTGGCGATGTTCTTGGGCCAGTTCCTGGAAGGAAAGTAGCACATTGCCCGGCACAGAGCAAACGCTGAGGAAAGTCACTTGGGGCTGTCTTCAGGCTGCATCACAAAATTCCTCCTTCAGCAAAGACACCATCTGGCAAGCGCCCGGCAGTCTCCGCCATCCTCTGTAGTTCTGCCAGCGTATTACTGTTTTGTTTAGTTTTAAAAATATAGATGACATTTATCGAGTACTCACTGTTATTTCTCCCTTAATTCTCTCCACAGACCCACGTGGTAGGCGCTGCCATGAGCCCTATTTTCCAGATGAGGAAAATTGAGGCTTAGAAATAGTTAAGCGAGCCGTCCCAGATCACAGATCACATGGCCAGTAAGTGACGTGTGCCCAATTTGAACCCTAATCTGTCTGAATCTTTGCCTTTGGTATTTACAAAAGTGTCTTGCCAGTTGGGAGAGGCAGGAAATGGGCGAGTGTTTCTTCAGGAATCACGAACCAGAATCTTCTGTGCCCTTTATCTCATCAAAGCGCCACGGCAGCACTTCAAAGTAGATGTTTTATTTGTTTTGATTTATGGCTGCTTGCTCATGAGTGTTATTCCTTTGGTGAGGAAGGAGAGGTCTTGGGGGAGGCAGGCAGGCTTTGGAGGCAAAATGCATTTGGGTTCAGCTTCATGATGGAGCTGTGTGACCCAGGGGACACTGCTTAACCTCTCTGTGCCACAACTTTTTCAGTGGTAAGCTTGGAACCTACCTTCTAGGGTGGTCTGAGGCACAGTGTCTATGAGGGGCTATGCCCGGTGCCTGCCCACTGTCAGGGCTTGCTAACTGTTGGCTGAGATGATCTGGCAGGACCATGCTGGCCTCCCTGTCATTACTCAGTGGGTGGTGATGATCTATGGGGTTTCCACCACTGCACACTGTTCACACCAGTCTGACCCGCTGATAACTCCTCTACTCCCAACAACAGATCTCCCTATTTTCCTTTCAGTTGAAGATGAAATTCATATTTCTATTATCTACTATAGGTGTGTCTGAGAGCAAAAAGGGAAAAAAAAGTGATTTAAAGCCTGGAATTCAAACCCCTGAAATCTTTGAAGCTACAGCCAGCTGAAAAAAATTGCAGTCAACTGTAGTCATTCATGTTTATCGGGGGAGGAAAAAAAAAAAAGGTTCACTCCAAACAAAAGCCCTTACCAGGGAGAGGGAAAATATGAGAAGTATTTGGTTGGACGCTTCATTTGCTCCAGAGCCCGCCTCTGAGCGGCTTACCCAGCAAGGCATTCCGCCCACTGGGGGCTCGACCTGTCCCCCCACCCCAGGACATTATTAAGTTGGAAATAATTAAGGTTGCTAAGTGATTTCACCCCTTGTGAAACTGCTAGAAAGGAATCCAGTCATTGTTTAATTAAAAAATGAAGAAAGAAAGGCTAAGAAGGGCAAAAGAAAAGGGCGGAAGGAAGAAAAAGAAGGAAAAAGAGAAGGAGGGAAGGAAGGAACGGGGAAAGGAAGAGAGGAAAGGGAGCTGCGTGATGTGCTCAGGGAATGGGCTCAGAGGCTGGGTAGGGGGCATCTCTTCCTACCATGCAAGACGCCATCTCCTGCTCAGCTGCACTGCGGTCCCTGCCTTCGCCCGCCCTTGTGGCCATCATCCCTCCTGGCACCACAGTTTAGGCAGCTGCCTCTTCCCTGCCACCAGGGAGGAACAAAGTGAACCTGGAGTTCTCTTGGCGTCAGACGCCAGCTTCTAAAGGCTCAAAGGGGCCCAGTTAACACACAGCAGGAGTTCCGATTCAAGACTGGCTCCTGCGCTTTCCAGCCGTGTGGCCTGGGGAAACATCTTTTAACCCCAATGAAGCTGCCATTTTGGTAGGTTAAAATGGTCAGATATCAGCAATTTCATAAGGTCCCACCTGAATTGCTTAAAAGAATAGAGTGTGGGAGTACTTTTCCAATGGGCAAGCCTCGTCCTACTACAGGGCAGTAACGCGTTCCCCACGCAGTCACCGAGTATCTCTGAGATGTCGGCGTGGGGCTAAGTTGGTCCGTAGTGTGGACCTGCTTAATCCCTGTAGCAACCCCAAAAATGGATGTGGCTGTTTCCGCATGTTGTAGATGAGGCAGCTGAGGCTCAAACAGCCCAAATCTCATGCCTCAGGACGTTCTACTAGAATGTGAAGCCACTGGGATTTGAACCCAGGTAGTCTGGCTTCAGAGTCTGGGCCCTTCACTATTAATTAGTCAGCCATCAATTAATTAAAGCAATACAGTCATTTGTTCGGGAAATATTTATGGAGTTTTCTTTTAATGAACCATGTACTGTTCTAGGCATTAGAAATGCAATGATGAGGAAGAAGGAGACTCTTCTATGGAGAGAGGTAACATGCGGCAGATAAATAAAAGATATTAAAGACAATGCTTGCCCCCAGGGGGAGAGATTTTGCTAAGGTGGTCTGGGTGGTGATATAGAAGGAAGAGACATGGTAGCTGGAACATCTGGAATGGGACAAAGTGATACTGGCAGGCAGCAAGGTGGGGGGCAATTGTGGGCTGTGGCGTGGACTTCCAGGGCCACAGTCCAGGAAGACGTAGCCTGGATCCAAGGCAGGAGAAGTGGGTAGGGTCAGACTCTACCTTGAAGGTAGAAGCAGCAGGACCTGCTGATGACTTAGATGCACGGGAGAGAAGAAGGCTATTGTTTTTGTTACCCCAGGTCCACAGCTAGTAAGTTGCAGAGCAAGGACTTGGAGCCAGGTTCTTCACATGGGGCAAATATTCACTTTGCCATTCATTTCACAAGCATTTATTGAGTTTTGTGCCAGGTGCTGAGACAGCCCTGTTGTGCCCTCCCAGAGCTTCTATTCTCCAGGGGAAGGCAGACTCCAAGCCACAAAAGTCACTGGGACCCATATAATTATGTAGGTGCAAAGAACCGGGGTGCCCGACACGTTGCAAGGGGATGGACCCCATCACTCCAGGCTTCCTGGAGCCTGCAGAGGGGCAGGGTTGGACTATAAAGATAGCTGGTTGGGCGTGGTGGCTCATGCCTGTAATCCCAGCACCTTGGGAGGCCAAGGCGGGTAGATCACAAGGTCAGGAGTTCGAGACCAGCCTGGCCAACATAGTGAAACACTGTCTCTACTGAAAATACAAAAATTAGCCGGTGTGGTGGCATGCGCCTGTAGTCCCAGCTGCTAGGGAGGGTGAGGCAGGAGAAGCGTTTGAGCCCGGGAAGTGGAGGTTGCAGTGAGCCAAGACCGCGCCATTGCACTCCAGCCTGGGCCACAGAGTGAAACTCTGTCTCAAAAAAAAAAAAAAAAAAAAAAAAAAAAGCCAACACCTTCTGATGCTTCCCAGAGGCCAGGGAGTATGCTGAGAAATTTACAGCCATTGTCTTATGTCAGTCTTTATAAGAACCCTGGGAGGCTGGGTGCGGTGGCTCATACTTGTAATCCCAGCACTTTGGGAGGCTGAGGAAGGTGGATCACTTGAGTCCAGGAGCTCGAGAACAGCCTGGGCAACATGGTGAAACTCCATCTCTACAAAAAATTAGCTGCGCATGGTGGCACACACCTGTAGTCCCAGCTACTTGTGGGGCTGAGGCACAAGTATTGCTTGAGCCCAGGAGGTCAAAGCTGCAGTGAACCGTGATTGCACCACTGCACTCCAGCCTGGGTAACAGAACAAGACCCTGTCTCAAAACAACAACAGCAAGAAAAACAACCCCCCAAACAAAAAAAGCCTAGGAGGAGGAAACTATTTTTACTCCCTCTTTACAGATAAGAAAATTCAGGTTTTGGGGTGGTGGGGGCAGGTTGCCCAAGGTCACACCACTGGCAAAGCTGGGACTCAAACCTTGGGACTCAGATCCTAAACTTCACCCCTTCCCTCTCTGCTCAAAGTTCTCTGATATCAGACCTTCTCATCACTTCTTAGAGACAAAGAGATGTGATTAACAAATCAATATGTCAAATACTAAGCATGTTCTACCTCCAGACAGTCTCTGGTGATGGGAGCAGGTGTGTTTGGGGCAGGGTAGGAGGTTTGAGCTGAGCAAAATTTGATGGAAGTCCAGAAATTTGCATGGTTTTTAATTACTTTCAGATTTAATAGAATATCATTCGGTGTGATTTATTCTACTCAAAGATTGATTAGTAATACAACTTGAATTGTATTCCATTTCCCCACACAATTTAAGATGATTTAGTGACAAATAAAGACTAACCCTAAAAGCTGTTTCTTTAAAGAGCCTTAGTCACCCTTGTTCTAATGCACTTGGAAAGGAGAAATTGTGCCTCCACCAGTCAAACAGCAATTTGATCCTTCCTGAACCTCAAACAAATGAGGGTCCTTCCCATCTCTGCGGCAGTTGGTGCTCTAATGGGGTCTGAGTCACCTCTTCCTAGCCCAGGGTTTGTCAGCCTCTGCACTGTTCTCTTCTGGGCTGGATCCTCCACTGTTGGGGGGCCCGTCCTGTGCATCGGAGGGTGTTAAGCAACATCCTTGACCTTCACCCACTAAATGCTAGTAGCATCCCCTTTCCCCAGTTGTGACAGCAAAAATGTCCCTAGACATTGCTCCATGTTCTCTGTGGGGGCAAAATTGCCCCCTGCCGAGAACCACTGATTGCTTTTGTGGGGAACCAGAGCATGTTCTTCAGAGGCAAACTTAAAATCTCACTCAAAAGTGGGGAAACTCCCTCTGAGGGATAAATCACAGCTTTTGTTTCATTTTTCTTTTTTTAGAGACAGGGTCTCGCTCTGTTGCCCGGGCTGGAATGCAATGGCCTGATCATAGCTCACTGCAGCCTCAGACTCCTGGGCTCAAAGGATCCTCCCACCTCAGCCCCAGTAGCTGGGACTACAAACATGTGCCTTCATGCCTGGTTTTTTTTTTTTTTTTTTTTCTAATTTGTTTTGTAGAGAGAGGAGGTTTCACTACATTGCCCAGGCTGACCTCAAACTGCTGGGATCAAGCTATCCTCCCACCTCGGCCTCCCAAAGTGTTGGAATTACAGGCATGAGCCACCGTGCCCGGCTTGTTTCCTTGTTTCTTTTGTCCCGCTTGCTACGTGGACAGCATCCTTCAGGTGCCACTGGGGGGCCCTCAGAGGACTGACACCTGCAGACGTTGGGGCTTAAGAGGGGTGCAGAGCAGGCAGCTACTTGTGCCCTGGCAGTGGTTGGTATCTTCCCATCTGTTTCCTCCCTTCTGTATCCTGGATTCTGCATGAACCAAAGGGCCCCCTGAGGCCTCAAGATGAAAAGTAAAGTGGTCAGAAACGTGCCTCCCTTAATGCAGTTGGAGTTCTTGGGCCGGGGAACACATGTTGTTCCATTTAGTGGATTTGCTCTACCAGCTTCTGGGTGTTCAGCTTTTGGGAACCCCTGTCCCTCCAGGGGATGATGTTACTGTGTGTGTGTGTCCCTAACACTCTGCAGGCAGTAATTATAGAAATTTGCGGGACGGTCCTCGTCTCGCCGACCCCCTCCCCCTTTTCCATCTCAGACAACAAATAAAACAACCCAGCTCTCCTTTGCGGCAGGACCACCAGGGCTGAGCAAAGGGCCGCCAGCCCCTCCCCAGGGTCCCTCGCGCTCCCCACTTGGCTCTTTCAAGGGCGTTTCAATGAGCAGCCTTGTTGAGACTTCCACTAGGGCCCGGCCTAGAAGGGACCATTAAAAACAGTTTCATCAGAACAAAAGAGGTTCTGTTCTTATTGTCCCCCTGGCTGCAGTTTGGATGCAGCAGTTGAAAATCTATCTGGACCGAGCAACAAATCTGGACCCAACCAGGCTGTGGAGTTCGCCCTCAGTAGGGATTTCTGGATGGATCCTTGGAGCAGATAATTTACAGCTAAAGCAAAACACAAGGAGAAGCTTTTTATTTGGCACAAATGTTTTCTATTAAAAGCCTTCGGAAGCCCCAGTAACTGGAGCTCTCTTCTTACACGAGCTCGAGGTGATTGTATTCCTGCACACAGAGCCCCTTAAAAGAATTCCTGGTTTGAATGCCAGTCTTGTCTGCAAGGAAGAGTGTGGAGCTGCACTAGGAAAGATCGCACGGAGCCCAAAGCATGTGGAAGGGGAGTGTCTTTGGGTTGATTTTAAATGCCTGCCCTGGAAGCTTTGTGGTTGGTGATTTTCTGCTGCTGAGACGCACCAAACAGGCCGGGGCATTTGTGGTGTGGACACAGGGAGAATTGCCCCAGAGAGGAACTGTTTGTCTGTCATGGGGGATGGAAACTTTTGTGGCTAACTTTCTGGGACATCAGATGAGGTCAGTGCCACCAATTCCATGGAATGGACTGCCTAAAAGAAGTTATTTTAAAATTTTTATTTGTTTTAAAAAAGTTATTTTTAGGCAGGGTGTGGTGGCTCACACTTGTAATCCCAGCACTTGGGGAGACCGAGGCCGATGGATCACCTGAGGTCAGGAATTCGAAACCAGCTTGGCCAATGTGGCAAAACCCCGTCTCTACTAAAAATGCAAAAAAATTAGCCGGGTGTGGTGGTGGGCGCCTGTAATCCCAGCTACTTGGAAGGCTGAGGCAGGAGAATTGCTTGAACTCGGGAGGTAGAGGTTGCAGTGAGCCGAGATCACGCCACTGCACTCCAGCCTGGGCGACTTAGGGAGGCTCTGTCTCAAAAAAAAAAAAAAAAGTTATTGAAAAAATTTTTTTCTGTCTGCCAAAGATGAAATTTCGAGAGATAACTAGTTTTAGCAGCTTATTTAGTTTGAACTCTGGAATCCTCATGCAGATTTCCAGAATGGTCATTTTCAAAACTGCCAGTTAGTGTCTGTTTGCAGGGCCTAGCGCAGCTCAGAGCCACTTTCATTCGGGTCATGAATTTGTCGAAATACAAGAGTCGCAGGAGCCAGTTTTGCTGTTTTGGATTCTCAACTCCAGAAAAAATGTCCCTGCAAGGCCCTGAGGACGACCCCCAAGTGCAAACAAGAACCAGCCAGAAAGCTACAGGCCAACAGGTGTATCACAGCATTTCTGAGAATTCTATATCAGATGGACATCAGCAATGTTGCTTTCCCTGTGCCCAACGACCAGGACATTCCTGGAGACGGCTTTTCTTTCTCCCTTGAGGAATTCAGAAGTGCCCTCCTGAGGAAATGTCAACTGTGAGGCCGACATGAAGAGTGGTACTGGCTGCCAGTCTCTCTCTCTCTCTCTTTCTTTCTCTCTTCTCTTTCACATAGTCTCACTCTGTTGCCCAGGCCGGAGTGCAGTGGGGGTGATCTCAGCTCATTACAACCTCTGCCTCCCGGGTTCAAGCGATTCTCCTGCCTCAGCCTCCCAAGTAGCTGGGATTACAGCCACCCACTACCACACCTGGCTAATTTTTGTATTTTTAGTAGAGACAGGATTTCACCATGTTGACCAGGCTGGTCTTAAACTCCCGATTTTAAGTGATTCACCCGTATCAGCCTCCCCAGGTGTTGGGATTATAGGCGTGAGCCATCGTGCCTGGCCAGTTGACATTTCTTTTCTCTTTTTTTTTTTTTTTTTTTGTCTCACTCTGTCACCCAGGCTGGAGTGCAGTAGCAGCAATCTCAGCTCACTGCAAGCTCTGCCTCCTGGGTTCACGCCATTCTCCTGCCTCAGCCTCCCGAGTAGCTGGAACTACAGGTGCCTGCCACCATGCCTGGCTAATTTTTTTTGTATTTTTAGTAGAAACGAGGTTTCACCATGTTAGCCAGGATGGTCTCAATCTCCTGACCTCGTGATCCGCCCGCCTTGGCCTCCCAAAGTGCTGGGATTACAGGCGTGAGCCACCGCACCTGGCTGACATTTCTTAAGTTGATTTTGTGTTAGGCACTTTCCATGGATTATCCCATTGGTTCTTCCCAGCAATCTGAGGGACACAGATGAGAGAAACAATTTTGCCCATTTTACAGATGAGAAAACAGAGACCCAGAAAGGTTTGGCAAATTGTCCAGGGTCACATGGTGAGCAAGTGGCAGATTCTGATTCAGGAGTCCTGGGTGGGCTGATATCCTGCTCCTGGTGGTGCTGAAACCCGTCTCTACTAAATAGACAAAAATTAGCCAGGCGTGGTGGTGGGCGCCTGTAGTCCCAGCTACTCGGGAGGCTGAGGCAGGAGAATTGCTTGAACCGGGAGGTGGAGGTGGCAGTGAGCCAGATCACACCACTGCACTCCAGCCTTTTTTTTTTCTAAAAAAAAAAAAAACCAGAATGCTCTTCCCCAGTGATGTGAGCAGCTCCTTCCCTCTCTGTCCTCAGGGGTCCCTGCTCAGATCCGGGGCTTTTCCTGATCACCATAGCTAAAGTGGCATCCTTGTCCCTCTCTGCACCCCTGCCCTGTGTTACTGGGCCCTGTCTAACAGCCCTATTAGGGTAAAAGCCTCGTGTGGAGAAGTTTGGTCCGTGTTGTTCACTGTTGTATGCACCACACTCAGAACAATGACTGGCACCTGGTAATACTCATTAAATAATTAATGCAAGAGGATAGAATGAACCCCTAGAAGAATCTATTCCAAAAGCAGACAAAAGGAGTTTAAAATTCAAAGTAGGAACAAAGACAGGGGCGCAAAAACCAACACACAAGCAAAACCCAGCGGCAAGCGACAGCCGCTCCCTGATTGAGCAGCTGTGTCTTGAGTCCCTGCTACCTGCCAGGTACTGAACCAGGAGGCAGGAGCCTGCGGCAGATGGTCTCATGACGGAGGTGGATGAGAAGTCAGGAACCACACTGGACTGAGTTAGGGCCACAGCTGAAAAGGGACAGGGGCTCTGTGAACTCCTCTATCGATCAAGTATTCATTGAGCACTGACTGTATGCAGAGTCCCGTGTTAGATACAGAAAGTATAAAACAGTGTATGTGGCATGTCCTCTGGGAGCTCACAAACCAACGGGCACATAGCACCCAGTGCTAATGACCTGCAAACCCATGCCAGTGCGGAAATTCAGAGCTGGAAAGGCCATTGTCGGGGGTAAGTGCCTGCCCCCCAGGGCCTCTGTCTGTCTGCAGAGCCCCCATTCAGCTGGGTGCTTGGCCATCAAGGGTTTTTTTTTTTTTTTTTTTTATCAAATTTTCTTTTCTTTTCTCTTATCTTCCTCTTTCTCTCTTTTCTTTCCTTTCCTTCCTTTCCTTTTCTTTCATCCTTTCGTTCTTTCTTTTTTTTGAGATTGTGTTTTGCTCTTGTTGTCCAGGCTGGAGTGCAATGGCATGATTTCAGCTCACTGCAACCACTGCCTCCAGAGTTCAAGTGATTCTCCTGCTTCAGCCTCCTGAATAGCTGGGACTACAGACACCCACCACCATGCCCAGCTAATTTTTCTATTTTCAATAGAAATGGGGTTTCACCATGTTGGGCAGGCTGGTCTCAAACTCCTGACCTCAGGTGATCCGCCCATCTCTGCCTCCCAAAGTGCTGGGATTACTGCGCCTAGGCAAATTTGGTTTTCTTTTTACTGACCCAGTGTCCCTTCCTGGATTCAGGTGACAGCATCCCCCTGCTTTGGGGAAATGGTGCCTGCCCTACGATATGGTCTCTGGTGGGGCTGACCCAGTGCCCTGACCTCCACGCTGACTCATAGGTGAGCAGGTGAGGCTGGGAAATCCAGGTGCTCCCTTCCCCGTTTGCCATTACTGGTGTGCGAGGTGAGCCAAGACCTGGATATCCTCTCCTGGGAGCAAGAGGCTCTCTCTCTCTCTTCCCAGGGTCACTTGCTGGCCTGGACATGTGGCAATGCAGAGGAAACCTCTCCGCGGTAGGAAATAGTGAAGCCAGCATTCAGATAGATGCCAAATTGAAAGATGGGGACAGAGAGAAACAGAGCCACGGAGACAGAGGTCACTCCATGAGCCCCTGGGCACACTGTTGATAGGACTTCCCTGTTAGGGACTCCACTCTGAGTTGGGCATTGAGCCGTTTTGAGGTGGGTTTCTGACACTTGCACATGATAGATCTCTGACTTAATGTAACAGCTTGCGAAACACTCTACCCCCTCCTCCCTAATTAAAGACTGAGAATGTAATCCCAGCACTTTGGGAGGCTGAGGTGGGTGGATCACAAGGTCAAGAAATCGAGACCATCCTGGCCAACATGGTGAAAACCCATCTCTACTAAAAATACAAAAATCAGCTGGGCGTAGTGGCACACGCCTGTAGTCCCAGCTACTTGGGAGGCTGAGGCAGGAGAATCTCTTGAACTCAGGAGGAGGAGGTTGCAGTGAACTGAGATCACGCCACTGCACTCCAGCCTGGCGACAGAGCAAGACTCTGTCTCAAAAAAAAAAAAAAAAAAAAAAAAAGGTATTGCGAAGTCCCGCAGTGAAGAAACGTGTTTCCCTTTCTGGAGCCCATCGTTTCTTAAACTTACTTGACAGAAAGCCATTTTCCCTCACAACATGTGCAAACATTTTGATGAACAGGAGAAAGAGAGAGGGTCCTCGATGCAGTGAAACATTGAAGGGGTGGAGGTGATATTTGCAACACGAAACTCCTCTGGAAAATGGGGCTTCAAAGTGGCTCCTTGAAGCCAGACATAGAGAATTATCTAGATCAAATGTTCCTGTGCTGTTGTAGAACTTAGCTCCTGAGTAAGGAATTTTGTATCTACACGGGGCCATTTTCACAACACGACTTTTTTGAGTCACGTTCTGTTGTTTTATCTATAAAATTTCTGCCTCAGAGACAGGCCTGCTTTTTAAACACAGGGTGGTTTTATCTGCTCAGCCTGTTTATTGCTTCATGCCAAGAAGGCTTTCCGAAGTCACAGATGCCTTGAACCTCTAAGCAAGGGACTCAAAATGTCCACACTAGACTGATTTCTTTTCTCTCCTTAAAAAAATGGAAATAAAAGAACCAAATGTCTGTAAATTGAATTTTCTGGTTATAATGAGGTGGTTCCCACCCCCAACCCCCAGCAAATTCCTACATGGCGTTTGGGGATGAAAGAATATTACCCCATAAAAACAAAATCAGGGCTCCAGTGCCAGAGATGTGGAGGGTTGTAAGGAGCCATGGTTTACGGTGGGGTCCAGGGAAGGGAGGTGGTGGTGGCTTGAGGTGTAGGGTAGCTTCTACCCTTCACTGGAGCCCTAAAGAAAAACCCTGGACTTGGTATCTAAACAGCAGCCTTAGGAAATGGTCTGGGTCTCAGGTGACCACGATCTTTTGCAAACTCTTTGATGTCTGGGAACATCATGTTTCCTGGTTTTGCAGATGCAGGCAGCTCACTGGGAGCTTGTTGGGAGCAGAGGTGGGTGGAGCAGAAGTCTGGCTGAGGAGGGACACTGAGCCTTGGAAGAGGAGAACAGACCAGGGCCAGCAATGCCCATGTGTGGAGACTCTGTTCAGGGACAGGGGCCCCAGCTGGAAGTTGGGTCGCAGTTCTTTGGGCTGTGAGAATTGGGCACCAACTTGAGTCACCCCAAGGAATGCGGTGGGATCATAAAGACACCTGTGGGGAACCATCAGCTCCAGGAAAAGCCGGAGTTAGGAGGGTCTTCTGGAGCCAAGCATCCCAGATGCTCTTGTGGTCACCGCAGGGCCTTTGTCCCCACCGTTGCCTCTGCCCACAGTCCCCTCCCCCTACTCCTCCTAGGCCTGGCTTTAGAGACCGCCCCTCCTCAGAGAGGCCTTCCCACCCTCTGCTCTCAGCCTCTCACTGGGCTTTCTTTTTCTCCATGGCACTTGTCAGTCACTCCTGCTTCTCGTCCATCTCCCCTAACTAAAATACCTGTGTGAGACGTCTTGAATATCTTTCCACTGCTACTGTCTCATGGTCTGAAAGAGACTATCACATGGTGGGAATAAATTAATATATATGTGAATGAATCAATGAACGAATAAAATTTCAGGGCTGCTGGGTACAGTTGCTGAGAGTGTGTACTGCACAACTCCGGAGGTCACTGTTGTCAAAGGCAAGAATAGGAATGTTGATCCCAGAGTGCACAGTGTACAGCCTACACTACTGGACCCCAGTGGCCTGAGCTCCTTTGTAAGGCAAGCTTGCTCACCACCCATCATGGCTACACTCTCTACCTCTTGACCTGGCCTTACTCCTGTAACCTCGTTTTCTCTGGATTTCCTATTTCAAATACCCAAGGAAGTGAATCTGATAACTCTGGATAGCTGTCTTGCCTCAAGCCATGTCATCGGTCACTCTGGGCAGCTTGGAGTAATAGCCTTCACATGACATCCTCTATCCTGATTTTTTCAGGCTGGGGAGGGGGCAAGGTTGCCTGTGGTGGTCACCTGTGTGTGCTGCCTGCCTGGACCCATGCAAATACTTCACACACAATGTCTCATTTTATCCCCACAACAAGCCAGCATATATATATATTTATTTATTTATTTATTTATTTATTTATTTATATCTGAGATGGAGCTTTGCTCTTGTTGCCTAGGCTAGACTGCAATGGCATGCTCTCAGCTCACTGCAACCTCCTCCTCCAGGATTCAAGTGATTCTCCTGCCTCAGCCTCCCAAGTAGCTGGGATTACAGGCATGCACCACCACACCCAGCTAATTTTGTATTTTTTATTAGTGGGTTTCACCATGTTGGTCAGGGTGGTCTTGAACTTCTGACCTCAGGTGATCCACCCACTTTGGCCTCCCAAAGTGCTGGGATTATAGGCATGAGCCACTGTGACCGGCCAGGCAGCACTATAATTATACCTACTTTACAGGTGAAGAAATGGGCTCAGAGACTGGCGTCAGGGGCTGAATTAAAACATGGTTCCATTGCTTTCTGGCAGTGGAATTGATTAATCTGAGCCTCAGTTTCCTCATCTGTAAATTGGGCACAAAAATATCTATTTCAAAAGAGTTGTGAGGATGAAATGAGGTGATGCAGATAACTGAACCGGGCGTGTAGACTGTTAGCCGTCGTTGGCACTGCTGTCTGTTGGTGTGCTGTCCTTCCCTCCGACTCGGAGGTGCTTGATGCCGCTGTCTGCAGTGATGCTGCAGGGGGGAGGAGCTTGCATGTGCTCTGAACACATGACGAAAATGGAAAATTTGTTTTTTAGGGTTTGTGTTCTGAGGCTTAGTTGTCTGGGGCACGAGTGCTTGAAGAAGAGAAAAGCTCCCCGGGATGCTTGCGCACGTGCTCCGGCAAGTCTGCATCTGACTCTCAAGGCTGTTTTGTCACCTGATCTCCCAGTGACTCTGAGATGTGTGAGGAGTGCGGCTCAAGGAGTGGGGAGCTCAGGGACATGCCTACTGCCACTCAGCAGGTGAGTGACAATCCCGAGTCAGGCAGTATTCCAGACAGAAACCAAGACGTGCTCGCAGAGAGTTCATTCACTCATTCAGCAAATATTCACCGAGTATCAGCTACATATGGGACACTGTTGTGAGCTCTACTCATGGTAGTGAACAAATCAGACCAAAACACATGCCCACATTTCCATGGCAGGAGAGAGACAATGAACAAATGAACATGTAACTGTTGTATTTCAGGTGGTGGTGGTAAGAGAAAAAGAAAACATGGGTTGCTTCTGATAGACGGGCAAGGGAAAACGTCAGTGGTGAAATATTTGAGCAGAGACCCAGAGGAGGTGAAGGAGGTGAATATCAGCATGAGCCTTCCAGGCAAATGGCCCAGCAAGTGCAAAAGCCCTGAGGCTTTTGCAGAACCAAGGACACAGCTGATGCATCTTGCTTTATGCATAAAAGCTCTTAGTGTAGAATTGCCAGATAGAATACATGGTGAGAGGTTAAGTTTGCATTTCAGATAAACAAAGGCTCATTGTTAGTATAAGTATGTCCTGTGCAACTTGGGACATATTTATTAAAAAAAAAAATGAGTCATTGTTTATCTGAAATTCAAATTTAACTGGATATCCTATATTTTTTATTTGCCAAATCTGGCAACTCAACTCAGTGGTTTGTTATCATGTGAGCTATGGAAATAAAAATCTCAGGCTGGCTTTCCAGGGGCAACTGACTGGGTGAAATAGGGGATCAGAATTGGGTCATCCAGTTTGAATGCTGGCTTTGTCATTTGTTAGTCATGTTTCTTGGCCAAGTCCTTTGACCCCTGGGCCTCCATATCTTCATCTGTGAAATGGGAGATACTGCATCCAATTTCAGGGTGATTCGAAGACAAGAGCTAATCAGCAAAGCTTGGACATCAGATAGCTGTGTCACTCACGCTCACTCTTATTAGTTGTTTATATTATTTATTGTTTATATTATTATATTGTTTATATATTGTTATATTAGAGCATCATATGTAAGATGAGCTCAAATCTGTTAGTCTTCCCATAAGATCTTTTCACATGAGTTGGGACTAACCTGTTATATTTAGAGTAATGGTTTACCAACAGGGAGGCAATAAAGATAAAACTCGAAGTAAAAGAAAGAACACATTTTTTTTTAAATGAGCAGAAACACAGTGAAGGAGGTGAGAGAAGGAAGAAAACAACAGAGATGGAGAGAAGCACGACGTGGGGTGGTGAGGAGTTCCCAGGACTCTGGGAGCCAGGAGCCCAGCCTAATCCTAGCTCTGCCCTGATTCACTGTAAGACTTTGGGTTCAACAGTTTCTCTTTGGGTGTCAATTTCTCTGTCTTCAAGATGAAGGAATTGAACCACATGTCTGCAGGACTTTTGTTGTAATGGACTGGAAACTCAGTACACAATGGCTTAAGCTGAACAGTCCTGGGTGGGGCTGGCTTCAGGGATAGTGGGCTCCAGGGACTCACTGATGCTGTCGGTCTTCTGCCTCCTCTTGTTTTACTGTCCTGTGGCTTCTCTCACAGGGCAGGCTCTCCCTGAAGGGAGGGAAGATGACTGCCAGCAGCAGCCGCTGACCTAGCAACCCCAGTGGGAGGAAAGACCCCTTTTCCTGGTAGTTCCAGCAAAAGTTCTAAAGTTGAATCTCACTGACTTAGATTAGGTCACATGACTCACTGAACCTATCGCACGTGCATCTCTGATTGACCAGGCTGGGTCACGTACCCACCTGAATTTTAGAGAAGAGGATAGTTCAACCTGAAATACAGGGACTGACAGTGAAGAAGGGACATTTCCACTGAGGAAAACAGAGGAAATCTTGGCCAGGCACAGTGGCTTATGCCTGTAATCCCAGCACTTTGAGAGGCCAAGACAGATGGATTGTTTGAGGCCAGGAGTTCAAGATCAGTCTGGCCAATGTGGTGTAACCCTGTCTCTACTAAAAATACAAAAATTAGCCAGGTGTGGTAGTGCACGTAGTAGCTGTAATTCCAGCTACTTGGTGGGCTGAGGAGGGAGAATTGCTTGAACCCAGGAGGCGGAGGTTACAGTGAGGTGAGATTGTGCCACTGCACTCCAGCCTGGGGACAGAGGGAGAGTCTGTCTCAAAAAAAAAAAAAAAAGAAAACAGAAGAAATCTTTGCAGAAGAAGGAGAAAAGGCAGGGGTCTCAAATTAGGTGGGCTTCCAAAGTGTTTTCTCTGAAACCCTGGGAGCAGAGAAAATGGTAGTGAAAAGAAACCAAGCCTGGGGGCTCTGGGCCCCTGCTGGGATCACCTGATAAAAGGCAGGGTGTCCAGTCCGATTTGAACTTCAGATAAATGACGAGTGAATTTCAGTATGAGTATATTTAATACATATACTCCAATATAATGGGATATACTCATACTAAAATTCATTCACTGTTTATCTGAAATTCAAATTGAACTGCACACCCTATATTTTTTTGCTAAATGTGGCGACCCTAGTCCCTCCCCTGCCCTATTTAACCAAAGAAGCTCTGTTTCTATTTTCTGTGTCGAGCCTGTGTGAAAAACTTCCTTGACCAAAAGTTTTAGCTGCGGAACAAAAGAGAAGGCCTGTATCCTTTTAACTGACATGGTTGCCATGCCGTCTCCAGCTCCCCAGTGCTGTATCCAGCAGGGCTCCTGGCTGCAGGCAACAGAAACCAGCTTGGGCAGGCTGGTGCAGAAAAGGAGTCCACTAGAGGATCTTAGAGGCTCACAGAACCCCTGGGAGGGCCAGAGAACCAGGCTTCGGGGCTCTGTAGTTGGGACACGGCCCCAGATCACTCTGCAGAATAGTCTGGGCCTGCGCTGATAGCTTCTGGGGTCGGTGCCTCTGACTGACTGAAACTTGGTCACCTGTCAGGGCTCTGGCTGCAAAGCAGGCGAGACAGTGCTTTTCTGGATATTCACCAGATGGGGCATCCTCAACCATAAGAGAGGGCTCAGATCTAGCTGGGAGGAGGGAGATGCTGAAAAGCAGGAGCAGTGAACCCTCACTCCTGCTCTTGCAGATGGAATTCTGGTTTTTGATGTTTCTGGGGAGACGGGGAGTTTATCAGATCAGTCACCAGGGGCCAAACAGCAGAGTTTTGCTGGGAAGGGACTCTGGGGAAGGTTAGGGTCAGAGTTTGCCTAAAGGGGCCGACAGTTCCAGCCTTTTCAACCACTGGCTCAGTAGTCCTCAAATCATGAATTCAATGGAGCTGTCTTGAAATGCACCATCCTTGGTGGTCCTTTGGTTTGGGTGATGGGTTGTGGGAGTCTGGGCACATCCTCCAGACACAGCAGAGCCCTTTATGAGACCAGGGGCAAACCAGATTCATCGAATCTGACTGGTAGATGTGTCTTCTTTGGTCTAATGACCAAAACGAGTTCAGTTGGTTGCCAATAGATAAACATTGAGAGATGTCACCACTCAAACTCAAGTTTCTAGCTTCTCTGGAAAATTAGAACTATCTGGTGATGTTGGAATCAAATTTCTGGATGGCATCACCCATGGGCATGTGGTTTCCAGTTCACCCCAGTCTGCACCCCTCCTTACTTATCCAGGCCAGTGTCTCCTGCCACCTGTCGCTGCGTCTGTGCTCATGATTGCCTTTCATTAAATTAAGAGGAAGGGAAATATTCCTTGGGCCTCACATTGCATCTCTGTATTTATGTTACGTGGCAGGTGCCCATTGGCTTTTGAGTGCGTGACTTCTGCAATAAAGGAGGAATTGAAGACGGGCTCAGAGGTATGTTCCTCAAACACTGATAGGGCATCTACTGTGTGCAAGGCCTCCATGGGCACTGGGAGGTCCATCCAGGACTGAGACAAACCCTGTGTTTTGGTGTACCTCAATGTTTAAGGACTTAGGTCCTGGAACAAGATAGCCGGTGTCAGAATTCTGATTTTACCATTCATTCACCATCGGTGTGGCTTCGGGCGGGTTCCCTCAAGTATTTGAGCCTCAATTTCCTCATCTGTGAAATGGGGATAATACTAATAAAAATAATACAAGGTAATTGGGAGAAGTAATGAGTTAATTTAAAAAGACAGCCGGAATCACAGATAATGAAGTTTTAATTTGAAGCCCCAGTTGGTCAGCTGTAACTTCAGAAATCTAGAGCCCTGATCATCAACATACAGTCTGAAGACCACAGCCTCTGAGCCCCCAGGAGCTGATGAGGAGTGCAGAATCTCAGCCCACTCACACTGGCTGTGTGGGAATCTGTGTTCTAGCAGACCCCCAGCGGATTCATATGCACAGTTGGGTTGGAGAAGTGTTGCTTTACGTTAAAACAAGGAAGGAAGGGGCTGCTCTCAGGTCACTGAACGTTCACTGATGCTTAAAGGCCTGTGCTGTGTAGACAGATGTGGCTTTGGATCCTGGCTCCATTACAGATTGGCTGTCTGACTTTGGGCAAGGTGCTCTCTGGACGTTGGTCCTCCTTCTCTGCCATGTGAGGAGCAGAACTAGCCTCTCCATGCAGTGAGGGGTTGCAGGTGACGTGGGCTTGGGCAGTGCAGGCTTAGCAGGTGTCCAGCAGAAGCAAGTGCTCCCAACAGGTGACAGGTCGGCCGCTCCCTGTCACGTTTTGGAAGGAGGAAAAGGCTACCTCTAATGCTGAACCAAGGATAGTTAGTGCTCAAAACCATACCAGACTTCCTCCAATCAAGGAAGAAATACAGCCCTGATAATAATAAACACTGCTTCCCCCTAGCTGGCTTCCAGATCCTAGAAATCCTGCATGGTATCAGCTTTCTCTAGAGTGTGTGTGTCGTCTGTGTTTTCCATTTGGAACTGTGGCCACTGCCATGTGTATTTAAGACTGATGGAAGACGTTTAGTCTCTCATTCTGCTGCTTTTAAAGTTGTGCAAAGAAAATCTCAGAGTGGGCAAACGTGAGGAGTCCAAGCCTCCCGTGCAATGAGAGATCTGCATGGGAGACAAAATTTCACCACAGGTGTGCTCTAATAACTTCCTCTGCAGGGCCCACCTCTCTGCACACAAGGGTTTTCAAGCCTGTGCACGAGGCGGCTCTTGGCCTTCTATTCCTTGTTGGGGTCGGAGGTCCAGGTCATCTGGCCTTAGCCAGGTGGTGTGGACAGAGAGAGCCGTCCACTGGCTTCCTTGACTGTGCTCCCCAGGTAGCCCCAGGGCCGGCTGAACCTCCTCTAGGGCAGATGGATGAAGATGAGGTCCCCACCTCGCTGAACAATGTGTGTGTCAGCAGAATTCTTTTCTTCTTTTTACTGCCTTAGAGAGACACGCTGACTTGGTCAAAATCGCTTCGGCAAGATGTGACTGATGATGGAGGAAATGAAAACTCCTGGCCCAGCACTGGGAGGCCAGCAGGCGAGGGGCACGGACCCTGGGCCGGGGCCGCCTGACACAATAACACCCCTCACAATTCCAGGCCATCTTTCATCCAGCCAAAGGCGGCCCCAGGTGTGGAGCAGACTGGGGCAGATCGGATTACGGTCCTGGAGCCTAGTGCTGGGTGCCCTGGCCAGGGGAGCCACAACTGGGAGTGTGTGGGTGGGGGACTAGCTGCTGGGGAAATGAGATAGGCCCCAGGGAAGTCCCTGGGCCCGGCTGGCCTGCGGTGGGCCTGGCACAATGTGAGGATCGGAATGCAGTGATGACCTTTTCATCTCTAATGTTCCCTTCCACTTCGCTCTCTCTTTTGCTCTGGTACTTTTGCTCTTGCTCTCAGAGTCAGGATACATTTGCTTTTCTCTGCTTGGCCAAAAAGCAGATCATCATGAAAAGTTTTGTTGTTGTTTTGTAACTCAGGAGGCTTTTCTGTTACCGTATTTTCCTTTTCATCCAGATGGTAACATAGTAACATTTATCAAGGGTTTTCTCTGTGTCCCAGGCACTGTGCAAAGCTCTTTCCATGAATTAACTTCTGAAACCTCACAGCGATCCCAGAAGACAGGCGCTATCAGTCCCCCATTTTACAGATGGGGGAACTGAGGTGTAGAGAGGTTAAGTCCCTTGCCCTTGGTGCACAGCTGGAAGAGACAGAGCTGGAGTGTGAATGTGGGTGGGCAGGCTCCAGTGCCCAGGCTACCTCCTCCACACAAGATTTGCCCTCAGCAATCTCAAAGCCTTTTCTGGTAGTGGCCTCAGCTCCCAAACTGGCATCGGATGCACTCCCAGATGGATATTTCTTGCTTGCTGGTTTTCATTCATTCATTCATTCATTCATTCATTCATTCATTCATTCGGCATTCACTGAGGGGCTGGTGCAGTCTTGGGGATGCCTCTGGGGGAGGAAACAGGGAAAAGAAAGACCCCCTCCCCCAGCGTGGATCACAGGAAAGATAAGGCTAAATGGGGGTTTGTGGGAGTTCAGAGGAAACCTTATCTCTTGAGGTCTTGGATATGAAGGGCATGTTGTCTCTCCCTCTTGCATGAGAAAAGGTGGCATCTCGGAGGAAGGGTTTCTGGGGTGAGGGATCTGGGAGATGCCTTAGCTTGGCGCCTGCACTGGCACCTGCATGGTCAGGCCTCAGTCAACCGGTCTCTTTAGGTGTTGGCTGTGCTTATTACTATTCATTCAACAGGTACTAATTGAGCACCTGCTGTGTGCCAGGCTCAGAATAGGCTCAGGTGAGATGCACAAAGAAGGGTAAACTAGAATCCTTGCTTAGACACTGACAGATCAGTTGTTTCATATGTAAATTGTAGCACCGAGACCTGCTGCCCCTGCCCCCAGCCTCACGTGCTTGTGAAGATCCCTCCAAAAGATTTGAGAGTAGATAAAAAGCAGAGACCACCGCTGAAGGGCAGGGCTGCTTTGGCTCCTTGTTATTTCAGACTTTGGAAGAAAGTGACCTCCTTTCTCTCTGCTGGCACTGGAGGTGGCATAGCCTGCCCCTGGCAAGCCAGCACTGGAGGGTGTATGCAGGGCTGGGGACTGAGCCTGGTTTCTGTTCCCTTCTCTTTAGGGCTCAAGCACTTGCTATTCCTCCACCTGGGATGCCTTTCCCTGGAAAAGCCTGTCTCTTTCTTGTCTTTCAGAACTCAGGTCAGTGGCATCTCCTCCAAAAGCTCCCCTCCCCACCCTCCATCACCTCACCTTGTTTATCTGCCCCTCCCCCCTCTCCCCCCCCCCCCCGACTGCCTGTCAGTTATCACAGGCTGAAGTGACCCAGGTTCTCCAGTTGCACACTCTCAGATGGATCCTGGATGACTGTGGCACTACTGCAATTTCCCCAGTGGCCCTGGGGTAGGATTCCTGCACACCACGATGCCCACCTTTCCCTCTCCCTCCTGCATGTCCTCCTCTGCCTGGCTTCTGAATTGTTTCCAGAGAGAGTGATGGACAAGACCTGCCTCTCCTCCAGTCCCTGACTCTTATTTGAGGCTCTTGCTTTGCTTCCCTGGCCTGGAGGCCGCGGCTCCTTGATGGAGTCCGCCATGTGGGTTCGCTTATGGCTGTGTCTTCCTGCCCAGCATTGTGCTTGGCCCCAGGACTGGCCACGTAATATCTGGGTCAGGTGCAAAATTAATACGGGGCAGGGGGGACTTTGTTCATAGGTGATTTAGAACTGCATATGGTGACCCCAGAGTAGGAAACCAAGTGTGGGGCCCTTGAGAGCTGGGGGGCCCTGTACGACTGTCCAGGTTGCAGGCCCCACAGCTCCCCACCTGATATCCTGTGCTCCATGCTTGTCTGTTGAAGGAAGGAGTGAATGGATGAAGACCAGGTGGTGGGGGTGGTTTGAGGACCTTGCCTGGTGGGTGGGCAGAGGCCCCTCCCTGGCATGGGGGCTCAGGACCTGTTACATCTCACAGCCTGGGGCCTATGTATAAATGGCCAGGACCTGCAGGCTGGCATGGGGGCTCGGAACCTGTTCCATCTCACAGCCTGGGGCCTGGGTGTAAATGGCCAGGACCTGCAGGCTGGTATCTTTCTGCTCCTTGCCTGGCCTCTGGCCTCCCCTTTCTCTACCCATGTGGCTCCTCAGGCTGCCATCTAGTCCAAAAGCCCCCAAGGGAGACCCAGAGGACCACTTGGCCAAACTACTTCTGCTCCAGAAAACTGTCGAAGACCATAATTCTCTTCCCCAGCTCTCGTGCTCCAGGAAGGACAGCCCCAAAGTGAGGCTTAGCCAGAGCCCCTCCCAGACAACCCCCCTGCCCCCACCCGCTTCCCTAACCTCAGCCCTTCCCAGTTCATCCCAGAGCCCCTCTGGGGATCCTCTCTCACCCAGCCCCAGCAGGGGAAGGAGACAGGATGAACTTTTACCCTGCTGCCCTCACTGCCACTCTGGGTGCAGTAATTCCCTTGAGATCCCACACTGGCAGAGGGACCAGTAGGTTCTGAGTGGTCTGGGGACTCCCTGTGACAGCGTGCATGTCTCAGTATTGATTGAGGGATGAATAGATGAGGAGAGGCAGGAGAGGAGGCTGATGGGGAGGTCTCAGGCACAGACCCTTGGAGGGGAAGAGGATGCGAAGACCAGCGGCTGGCTCCCCAGGCGGGGAGGGCTGATGGGAACCCCTAGTGGTGGGGCTGGGGTGTCTGGTCTCAGGCTGAGGGGTGGCTGGAAAGATACAGGGCCCCTTAGAGGAGAAAGTGGGAAGAACCCCCCAGCTCAAACGAAGTTCACTTATTCACTCAACAAATCGTGATTGCGCAGCCACAGTGGCTACCAGGCGCTAGGTTCAAGGCACTGCGGGCACCAGAGCTGCGGAGAAGATCGCTGGTCCTGGCCTCAGTGCGCTGGGCGTCTAGCGGGGATAAGAAGGCAATAAAGAGGCACGGAGTAACTCAAACAACAATTCCAGACAGCAAGAGAAATTACAGGAAAGAAAACAAATGTACGTGGGGGTGAGGCGAGGAAACAACCTCAGCTTGGCAGGTCTTGGAGGTCTCTGGGAGAAAGCAGGGTCTGATGGGGGGCGGGAGGTGGTGAGCCGGGAGCCGTCCAGGCGGAGGGAATGGCGAGCGCAGAGACAAGCTGGCAACCGGTTCAGAGAGGCGCGGAGGGGTCAGCGTGGCTGGCTTAAAAGGAGACGGGGACTAAGGGGCAAGACCGCCTCAAGGGTCACCGCTTCCAGGAAGCCTTCTATTTCCGCGCCACCTCCGCGCTCCCCCAACTTTTCCCACCGCGGCCCGCAGCCCACCGGTCCCGTTCGGGCCGCCTTCCTGGTCCGGACCGCGAGTGCCAAGAGGGCAGGGCCGGCTTGGATTCCTCCAGCCGCATCCCCGCGACGTCCCGCCAGGCTCTAGGCACCCCGTGGGCACTCGGTAAACATTTGTCGAGCGCTCTAGAGGGAATGAATGAACCCATTGGGCACAGCTAGGGGGAGGGCGGGGCCGAGGGCAGGTGGGAGGCCGCCGGCGCGGGAGGGGCCCCTTGAAGCCCGTCCTCCTCCTCCTCCTCCGCCCAGGCCCCAGCGTGTACCACTCTGGCGCTCCAGAGGCGGCCTCTTGTGCGATCCAGGGCGCGCAGGGCTGGGAGAGCGCCCCGGGGCCCCTGCTCTCCACGCCAGAGGTTGGAAGAGGGTGGGTCGCCGCCGCCTGAGGGCGAGAGCGCCAGAGGAGCGGGAAGAAGGAGCGCTAGCCCGCCCGCCTGCCTCCTCGCTGCCTCCCCGGCACTGGCTCTCTGGACTCCTAGGCTTGCTGGCTGCTCCTCCCACCCGCGCCCGCCTCCTCACTCGCCTCTTCGTTCGCCGGGGCTGCTTTCCAAGCCCGGCGGTGCGCCCGGGCGAGTGCGGGGCGAGGGGCCCGGGGCCAGCACCCAGCAGGGGGCGGGGGTCCGGGCAGAGCGCGGCAGGCCGGGGAGGGGCCATGTCTGGCGCGGGCGCAGCGGGGCCCGTCTGCAGCAAGTGACCGAGCGGCGCGAACGGCCGCCTGCCCCTTCTGCCACCTGGGGCGGTGCGGGCCCGGAGCCCGAAGCCCGGAGCCCGGGTCGCGCGTAGAGCCGGCGCGATGCACGTGCGCTCGCTGCGCGCTGCGGCGCCGCACAGCTTCGTGGCGCTCTGGGCACCCCTGTTCCTGCTGCGCTCCGCCCTGGCCGACTTCAGCCTGGACAACGAGGTGCACTCAAGCTTCATCCATCGGCGCCTCCGCAGCCAGGAGCGGCGGGAGATGCAGCGCGAGATCCTCTCCATTTTGGGCTTGCCCCACCGCCCGCGCCCGCACCTCCAGGGCAAGCACAACTCGGCGCCCATGTTCATGCTGGACCTGTACAACGCCATGGCGGTGGAGGAGGGCGGCGGGCCCGGCGGCCAGGGCTTCTCCTACCCCTACAAGGCCGTCTTCAGCACCCAGGGCCCCCCTCTGGCCAGCTTGCAAGATAGCCATTTCCTCACCGACGCCGACATGGTCATGAGCTTCGTCAACCTCGGTAAGGGCAGGCGGGGGTACGCGTGTCTGTTCGGGGGCACTTTGAAACCGGGAGGGAGGGAGCCGCTTCTTCTATACAGCCCGCCCAGCTTTCTGCTCCTGGTTGAAATCGCAGTGCCTGCCCGAGGGTCTCCCACCCACGGCCCTATGGCTCCCAAGCTGTGTGCGCCTCCAGGTCTGGCGCGCTGGGCTCGGTGGGCCTGTGGGGGTTACTGGGAAGGAGGGATCCTCGGAAGTCCCCTCCATGTTACGCCGCCGGCCGCATCTCTGGGACTGGAGGCGCCGGCCGTTCAAAGCGCGGGGCTTGGTCATGTGAGCTGTCCTGGGCTGGCGCGGCTCGCGCTACCTGGATGTAAAGGGCCCTTCCCGGCGAGGCTGCCTTCCCGCCCTTCCTGGGCCCCTCTCAGCCCTGCCTGGCCCTGGCATCTCGGCCGTCGCACTCCCTTACCCGCCCTGACAAGCCCTACCTGTCCCCTAGTGGTGCGCCCGCCTTAGCCTACCGCGCGCTCCGAACGCCTTGGGGCCCCTCTCCGGGCCGCCGGATGCCCCATTCTCTCTTGGCTGGAGTTGGGGAGCTTGCTAGTTTGCGTTCTTTTATTTTTTCTTTTTTTTTCTTTCTTTTATTTTCTTTTTTTCTTTTTTCTTTTTTTTTTTTTTTTGAGACGGAGTTTCGCTCTTCTTGTCCAGGCTGCAGTACAATGGCGCAATCCCTGCTCACCGCAACCTCTGCCTCCCGGGTTCAAGCGATTCTCGTGCCTCAGCCTCCCGAGTAGCTGGGATTACAGGCATGCACCACCACGCCTGGCTAATTTTGTATTTTTAGTAGAGACTGTGTTTCTCCATGTTGGTCAGGCTGGTCTCGAACTCCCGATCTCAGGTGATCCTCCTGCCTCAACCTCCCAAAGTGCTCGGAATACAGGCGTGAGCCACAGTGCCCTGCCTCTAGTTTTCTATTTTAAATATTTAGTGGTAGGTCTCGGGCCGGCAGAATCCATTTTCAGCATTTATCACGTGTGGCGCGCAAACCACAGGTTTTGGCGATTGGGTTGCGCGGGATCTCCGAGCTGACGCCGCGGGGGCGACTGGGGGTCCCAGTTTACGATTGGAGCCGCGACGACCCCGGGGACGCGAGCCTGGGGCTGCGGCGAGGGCCGGGGAGCTCCCCCTCCGTCTGCGCGCACTCATTCTCCAGACTTGCTCAAACTAACCCCCGGCAGCGCTCTGCGGGACTGATGATCAAATATTTGGTTTCCGAGATAACACGCCCGGATAGCGCTGTTTCCTGAGCGCTTTCATTCTACTTGTGTAACTTGCTGCGAAAACCCGAACCAAGTCAAGACAGCAAACTCACACCCACGGGCGCTGTGTCAACATGGAAATAATGATACTGAAGCCCCACGCTGGGCACCTGGGGCGTGGACTGGGGGCGCGGGGAAGCGCAGATCCGCCTTCATGCTTCCCCCTCCTGATAAGGTCCCTGGAGTTCCCGGGGAGGCCATTGTCTGTACTTAATAACCAAATCCAGCTAGTGAGCCAAGCTTCAGCGAGCAAGGGGTGGGAGGTTTAGATGCCAAAATACCTTCAAGAAAGTTTAAATTATACTAAGCAGCCAGTTAAGAGGGAAGCAGCAACATATGACCTGATTTAGAACCATCTCCGAGATGCATGAGGTGGAAAGAAGCAAGGTGCAGGTGAGTGGCCTGCATGTATGCTTTTGTGTATCATCGTGTCCTCCTGGAGGAAGACACCAGGAACTGGAGATTTTACTGGAGGGCTAGAGAGGTGGGGGCACAGCTGGGGCTTAGGGAGTGGGAGCTGGGGTCTAATGTTTCATTGTCTGCACTTCTGTATTGGTGATTTTTTTAAAAAAACAATGCGTATTTATTAACTATACCAAAAACTAAAGGAAAATTCCAAATACATACACACAAATAATGAACGCAGAGCTCTGTCGCCCTCCTGAAGCCTGGGGTTAGCCAAGGCCCTTTCTCTGGTGGGGGATTTATGGCATCTTCCATTCTGTTGGGTACCCTGGACTCCCACTGAATGTGCAGATCCCAGCGGCTGCCTTCAGAGCCTGGCTGGGGTCATTAAAAAGGTATTTGTAATCTCCGGCTTCTGTAGAAGGCCCTGCAAACCAAGAGCAAAAAAGCTGCCACTGCTTATGGGCCGGCGGTGTGGGCTAGGCCCCAGGGGCTCCCTGTCCCCCAGAGAAAGACCAGCTTGCTCGGAGGGTGCCTCTGGGAACCTTGGTGCTGGCTATTTGCTTCCCCCATGGCGGCAGGAGCAAGCTGGGACTTGTTTGGGAAGGCCACAGCTGGGTGGTTTTCCTCCTCTGGCTGTACACACACCTTTCAATCCATTTCTTTCATCTTGAAAGGACAAAGACCGGCTTGTCTGAGCCTCTTAATCAGTCAGGCTGGCTTTGGGCTTTGTGGGACCCTGACTTTCTCAGGTCTAGCTTTCTGGGACATCACTCCAAATTAGATGGCAGAGTGGCTTTTAACAGAGTGCACTGACCTTGTTTTCTTTCTCTCTCTGTCCCTAAACTCGAGGTCATTAGTTAGGTGAAGACCTGGGCTGCAGTTTGGCAAGACGCTTCCTGTAGATGCTTCTAATGTTGGCCTTTAATTTCTGCTAAGCAGCAGCACAGGAATAAATTGCCTGTCCCTTCTGTTCTGTTGTAGCCTGGAATTTCTCCATAGGAGGGACTTGGGGGTGGCAGTAGGGTTGAAGAGGGTTGGGGGGAGGTGTAGCAGACTTGTCTGGCCACTGAGTTTGCTGAGAAAGAACACTGCTATACTGTTTTGCCTTGGATTGCAAATCATGTTGATCTGTAGTATTCAGTTTTCTAAAGGTAAGTTTATTCTCACAATTTACAGAAGAGTGAGAAAATATCACTAGCACATATCAAACCATTCCTTATTATTATGGTGGGACTTTGTCGGGGGGGTGGGGCATGGGTGAGGATCTTGGCAGCCTCTGCTGCCCCATCCCCCTGCACTGCATAGCTCTGCTGTCTTGCAGGCAGGCGGCCTGCGTACGCTGGGGGACCCCTGCCTGAATTCTGAAGGCTTTTGCAGACCTGGTGCGTTTATTCTTCCTTCTGTCTGCCGCCAAACTGGTTTTTGTTCCTGTAAGTTGTTCTTGGAATTCAACTTTTTTGCCAGGCTGAGCGGGATCTAAACTAGAGGGAAAACTAGAGGGGAATTTACGACAAAACCAGGTGGTGGGAATGAGGACTAAAGGCTGCACCTTATGACAAAGCCCAGCCTGTACCATAAAGCCCTGGGCAATGTGAGCTAAGCTGCCTGAGTGAGACTCCCATCTTCCCAGCCTGGGCCCCTTAAGTTCAATGGCAAGATTTGTAAACTGGTTTGGATTAACAACCCCAACTCCTCTGTGTAGACTTAATTTTGGAATTCAAAACAGCTACCCTCTCTTAAATAATCCCCAGGCAATGGCGATTCTGCCCACTGAATCGAGCCGTAGCCCGTTGCCGTTCCTTCTTTGGGAAGACCCAGCAGCTCTGTCAGGGATCTGCTAAAGTAGCCGGCTGGCACTAGGGCAGTGGAAGTCAGCATGTTTATCTCTGATCCAGGTAATGAAGGCATGAAATTTGTGTAATCTTTGAAGCTACATTGAAAAGAAGAGAAAGTTGGAAACCTATCATTACTGGAGTCAGCCTATGAAAGTGGCTTTTGTTACTGTAGCTGAAGAGCAGGGAGCAGGCCGTGCAGTTTGATTTTTGCTTTTATGCCATCTGGCTGTCCTTTTTGTTGACAAGTGTTTGGCATTAAGACCTCTCCCATTGCCCCTCAAGAGCGGTCCCTACCACTGTAGAGTATTAGAAAAAGATTCTGTTACAGTTTAAAAATTTCCTTCAGGGAGTGCTTCGCAAAGGGGAGCGTGGACTGCAGGCATTTGCAGCTGTAACCTGGCTTGTGTTAAAATTTGGAAGGGGCTGTTCCACATTCCAGCACTCGGAGCGCCGGCCCTCACTGGTGAGCAGCCAAAGGTTAATATAGATGTCACACAGCTCCCCCCTCTTTCTTTCTTTCTGCAGAGCGCCTTTGCTATAGGAGTGCACCAACAGCTGTGTTTTTCGTAACCCTTTCAAAATCACTTCTTTTAAACCTCATTT